GTTTTCCTTTTCTTTGCTTAGTTATTACATTTTTTAATGGCCTTCCACTCGCTGAACGGTGCATAATAAGGTCTAATTTGTTGCCTGCTCATTCAAAACAAAAAGGTAAACAATGTTGAACAGTCACAGCCTGTTGTCTGAGGGAAATGTGAGCTATTATTCAGCATCGTGATTCGGTAACACAAATCATTAGTTTGGTGTCAGCTATGCTCAGGGACCTTGATCTTCTTCAGAATGAGTTTTCAGGTCACTGAAAACTCATTCTGATGTTACCGTTATAGGGTCTTCTCTTCTTCCTATTAAATAAATAGTTTATGCGCAGAGTTTGACTTTTGGAAATCTCTTGATATTTGCTTTGAATAAACCAACAGTATTCAAGGAAGGTGAAAAATCATATTTTAAGATAATTAGAGGTACAACCTTCCTCCTCTTAACCCTCTCAGGCTCAAATTAAACTTTTTGTTGCTAATGCACAACCAAGTCCTGCAGTGGTACTTCTGAGTAAAAAAACCTCATAAAACATGTATGTGGGGAAATCAGGTTGTTAGTTTTTAACTGTTGCAAATCGGCAGCGCCTGCCTTGAGAGGGTTAACTTCCTTCTTAAGTGGATTCAATGACATTTTGACTTTGTTGGTATATATTCAGGCTGAAATCATTATTTTAAAGCCTCTAGTTATATTATCTCTGACAGATTAATGAGAGCCGTGCCCTGTCATACTTTGTCTTCAGTAAACTTCACCTCAGGGTTATTAATTGTGCGGATTTTATCTGCAATATCTGACTGACCATTAAGAGTGTGGTGAGCTCTGGGTTCACGACTGCTTAAAAGTATTACTTTTTGTTCCCAGAGATAGCAATCTAGTTAACTCAAGCACCTTTGAAACTGCAGCACGTGACATCACTTGATGAAACATGAACCCTCCTTCACACCAAGTTTCTTCATACTGGAGCATTTCCAGAATGCATGAACTGCTCTTTTTCAGAATGTAAATCATTCTAATGAAACGCTATCGAGCCTGAAAGATGCTTGAAATGATTTTTGAAATTGCAGTGTATTAATGGATATGACCAGTAATGTTGCTGAAACGGGGACACTTCACAGGACGGTCATTAAAGTGAAGGTGGGCAGTTAAAAGTATCTTGATTGTGACTCACTCAATCTTGGTTGTGTGTGATATGTAATTACAGGTGCAGTCTAGATAATATCACTTTCATGTGCAAAAAAAAGTAATTTACTTTAGGGGAGCAGGTTTAAAAATGCAAGAAAATGATAAGCCGGCAAATGAGAAAATCGTGGAGTGCATTAGTACTGCGGAGGATACAAATGCTGAGAGCAGGCTGACGTGTCAACAAATAAAAGCAGAAACTTGGGGACACAATCACAGAATAAACAACCTAACTGCTGTAGAGGACATGTCACACCAGCTGCAAACACAGCAGTGAAGTCAAATCAGCGTGTTGCTGCAGACAGTAAACAGCAGCCAGCCAATCCCAATGGTCATAATGATCCTTAATGTGTCACTGACTCATATACGTTGCATTTTAAAAGTACTGTTATTAGGATGGGACTGCACAGATGTGCTTTCTTAGCGCACAAGGTTTTTATGGCTACAACCCCCCGTTTTTTCCTGCATTTTGTCAGTGTTCCTGACAAAGGTCAAGAGTCTAAACAGCTAAGAGTAATAGATATTACATCTGGGGCCCTGCTGTCAAAACCAAACAAAAAGATTAAAAAAACATTGCCATCTACGTTCCCCATCATCAGCAATAATGGGTAAGCGTCATCGTGTTTAATGGGTCTTCTAGTAAAACAACCTTCCTGATATTGATGCTCATGAATTTCACTGTTTGAACAATTACTGTCACATTATTGCAGAGCAGTGGAGAAGGTTCAGAAGGTGATAGGAACTGTATAGGGTCATGCAAGCAAACCTTTAGTGGAAATTACAGCAGATGAAGATGAGTATCTGGGCTCGTGGAATCCACACAGCATTTCATTCACTTTACACAGCATAGTAAACTGTAGTGAACCACAGCTCAGTGTTGTCAAGAGCTTGCAGAACTTCAGATCCGCTCAGAAGCCATTCATCCTGCCCCTTTCCTACTTGTTTCCATACCGACATCAAATACACAACATTCAACTTTTAAGACCATTAGGCTTCTTTATTGCAGTTCTGCTGTCCGACTCTTTCTTTAACATAGTATGCAAAATCACAACGATAATGTGCAGAGGTTTCATAAGATTGTATCTTAATTATCAGCGATACTCTTACATGAACCTCCAACTGTTTGCGTTTTATTCTTATCTACAGATTTATTTTTCTTTGCACTCTGTGTTAAGTTTTTCTCTCCTTCTTGTTGCTTTCATCTTTTCTCTTCCTTGCACTGAACCTTTGACACTGTTGCAACATCCTAATTGCCACCGAGGTTCAAAACAGTTTTATTTCTTACCACTGACACGATGATTACTCTGCCAGAGACTGAGATTTAAGACGCTGCCAACTGCTTTGCCGGTCTTTGCTCTGATACAGCAACAGTCCTTTGCTTTACTTCTTCTCTCTGTTGTGAAGATGTAAAGCTTTGCCAGGGTTGACACTGCCCTTCCTTGGCAACTGACAGCCCGATTGCATATTGCACTCACTGTAATAAGGAAACGCAGGTTAGCAGTCTTCTGTGTGAGCTTTCTTCCCTTCTCTTTTTGCTTTTCTCTTCTCTTTGTAGTCATAAAAACAGCCTGAGATCAACACAGTGCAAAACCTCAGAAACTCTGGTATATGGAGATAAACTGATGGCGTGAGTAGATTTTGCTGAAACCTGTGCGCTCCGCTCGCTCATTGGAAATCTATGGGCAGGTGCCACTTAGTCCTATCAGAACTCCTGTTCTCTGTGTTTTCACTCCAGCTGCACAATATTGATTCCTCTCAACACTAAGCCTCTGACTAAACCACTGAAATCTTGCTCCTTTGTTCCTCCCTCCTCCCCTCTGCTGACTCACTCAAAATGCACCTTCTCTGTCCGTCTCTTGCTTCTACCTGTGATCACAGTGTGATCTGAAAAGAAAAAGAAATCATGGCATCTGCATGTCATGTTGAAGTGTCTTTAAGTTTTAAGAAAACTTGCTGATGTAACAATATCGTCACACCGGTGTTGCGTTTAAATACTCGTCAGAAAAATCTTCACAAAGTATTAGTGCAGCCAGCTTCCTATTTCCACCGTTCCACCGTTCCATCTCGGGAATGACTGACTGCTTGTTAATATTGTAGGTGGATGAGATTCATGAGACACAAAATGCTGTTTCGTATAAAGAAAAGGGAAAGTCATCAATGTGCAATAGTGATGACAAAATAAAATAAAATTGACAAAACTCAATGAAAAGAATGGATAAAAACATCCAGCAGAGATGTTTGAAGCAGTGTCAACATAGCCTGGCTCCTTTTTGTTAGCTGGCTCAAAAAAACCTGAAACCTAAAGCCTCAGTCAGCGATAATGCATACTACAGCACTTATCAGCTTTCCTTTTTAAGCAGCCTTTTCTTCTTTTCCTCTTCAGAGTCAAAAGCGAGCTTTTGAAGCTCTGTTTAACTGTTCTTCTGCTCACAATGGGCTGATCAAGTGCACCCGGCTCGGGTTAAGAGGAACACATTAACACGCTAACAGTTCCTTGTAGAATTTTTCAGCTGGTAGACATCCTTATGGATGTTGCTGTAAATAATGCTACAAGGCTTAGAAAACACGCATGAGTCTCTCTCTTTCACACACACACAAACACACACATCTTTAATCCGGCGGAAGAGAAAATCTATATGTGCACCACAGTTTCAAGGTCTGTACCCAAGATTAGTGTCACTTATCTGAAATATGGTCACAATCTCCACCATCTACTCCTGAGTAATGGAGTTCAATAATGGGCTACAAAGGCATTTTCGCAGCACATTATCATGCCACTGTGAAATTGACCCGCACACGGATATGTAAATGGGATCAACGATATTCGGAATTTGGCTGCATTACAGCACAATAACAGTAATGTACAGAACTCGCTCCCGGTGGGGTTATATCTACCACAACACAGTTGACTCTGTGGAAGAACATGTATTTTAAGGCAGTTTAAGGTGACTTTTTGTTTTAAATGTTTCTTATTTTTTTGAAAACAGCTGTCTTACTCCGTAGCGCATTTCAGACGAGGTGCTAAGATTTTACTTATTTATTTTATTTTACTTTGATGCCAAACTACAAATGAAAAGACGGCTTTTTAAAAATTACACCACATATTTATTCTTAAAAATCAAAGTCAAAATCAAAGTCAAACATATGGTGAGGGGGCCAGAACCAACCCATCAAAGGGTTCGGTGTGGCCTGCTTGTAGGCTTTGGGAAATGTTGAATAATCACAGAAGGAGGAGACGAATCTTAGACTCTTAACTACAGTATTATAACTTCAGTCTTCTTGCTGACAAAGACAGACCTCGATAAGATAAACCGCAGCCTGCCAAATACTACAGAAAACACCCGTTTTTCTTTTTCATCATATCAACTTGAAAATATGATTTGTTTAAATGTATTTATTTAATTTAATTATTTTGCAATAGTTGGTCCAACTCATGTAAGATCAAACTGGCCCACTATCTAAAATAAGTGAAGTATAGTCAAGTCTGTTATTGAAGTAATGACAATAACAGAAAACACAAGAGCATTTCAGAAGAAAAACAATTACACATTTTTTGTTTCAGGTCACCAAAGGTCACTAAACCCCAGATAGACCCGTCTCTATCTAAGAAAACTAACTGAGACTTTTTAGATTTGTCCTTGCAGGCTACCGTCCTTGACAATTTATGCTTTATTCCTACCAACACGCTTTAGTTCCTCCAATCTCTTACTATAATTTTACAACCTTCAACCATGGCAAACTATTCATTTTCTCTGTTGGCTACTTGTTTCTAACCCCCTGAGTGATTTATGAAATTAAATTTCTCCTTTCCTGTTCTCTTTCTCTCATTTAAGACCGTAAGGTGGCCATGACGAGCGAGGAGGAGGAGGGCCCCGGCGTTGCAAAATCGACAACAGCAACACCATCTGCACCGACCAGCTCCAGAGTGACGACCGCCATAGCCCGGGCCGACAGCGATGACGCTATCGCCACCTCGTCTCCCCGCAGGCCCTCCCCACACCGCCGCCCATATCCCAAGAAAAAGGAGGAGAAGGAGGAGACCATAGAAGAGGCAGCAATTATTCAAGAGGAGAGGATCGAGAAGGAAGAAGAGGAGGAAGTGGTTGAGCGTAACGGGGATAAAGAAGATGAGGATGACGAGGATGACGACGATGATGATGGCAGCAGTGACACCAGTGTGTTAGTGGTGCCCTACCCTGAGCTGGTACCTGTGGTCTTCTTCTGCCTCAAGCAGACAACCTTTCCCCGCAGCTGGTGCATCCGCATGGTCTCCAGCCCATATCCTTTTACTTACCTGCTGTGAATCATGATACTGTGGATTATTCCCACTGTGTGTTGCCTTTTCATAACTTAATCCATCATCAGTTATCCTTCCATCTCTCAGAGTTTAAACGCAGGCTTTTGGCTATTTCAACCCATCTGATTAGTTCAAAACATCCCCTGTTCCAAGCTGAATTTCTGCCTCCCGTGTGAGGCGAGAGCTGAGAGCAAAGTTCGATGCTTTTTGATGCATTTGTAGAAGGATTCAGATGGAAAATAGTTCAGTAACATTTTCTGTTTTCTCTATTTCACCATGGTTCATTGCCAGAAGAAAATGCCCTGAAAATACAGGAAATATCAACTCAAAAAAGTCACGAGGAATAAAGACAATAAATATGTCTTTACCTTTATTCAGCAGCAACAGGCCACCTGCTCCATGCTTGCATTGGTCTAATTTATGACTAGGGATGGGTATCGTTTAGGTTTTATCCGATACCAGTACCAAACCGGTACTTTTGAAACGGTGCCGGTGCTTAAAGAATGAAGAACACAAACTTTGCCCAAAAACCTCTCATGTTTAGCTGTTTTCCCACTTTTTCTTTGGTCATTTTAGCCTTTTTGGCCAGGGTGAAGGGAGTATCTGCCATCAAACAAGAAGACAGCCGCATGTAACTACGACGTGTTTGCTAGTTCACCTTACATGCATTATTGTAATAACGTGGTTAGCCTACTCAGTGTAAATTACACACGAACAACATTAAGCTACTCACCCAGAAAAGAACGGCTGCTGCTGCCATCATCGTCCGTCATCATTTCTGCTACACTGGCAGGGCTAGGGGCCAGGACTCTCCTCTTCGGGTTTTTGGGGGATGTTGCTAACTCCGGGTCCGATAACAGGCAACCCACCCGCAGTAGATGTGCTCGGTGTGAGGTCTCGCAGCAAGCTATCAAATACGGTGCATTTCTCGGCTTTTAAAAAAGTGCTATGCGCCGCCAGGTGTTTCATCAGATTCGAGGTGTTACCTCCTTTGCACACCATCAGCTTAAAGCACTTGTTGCAGGCTGCTGAGTTTGCATCTTTTGCTGTGAAGTACAGAGTTTGACCGCTTCGCTTTGGGCGTTTTTAATCTGTAGCTCTGCTCTCAAAGAACGTTCGTACCTGGGCCCGCCTACTACGCTTGCAAAGGTAAAATGATTGGCTAAAATCCAAAGTGTATGACATCTCAGGAAAAAAAAGCACCGAAATAAAGCACCGAAATGTGCGCTGCTTTTCAGTCTGGTTACTACCGTTTATGTCAGAACTGGTGCCATAATGGCACCGGATACCGGTACCCATCCCTATTTATGGCATACTTTAAATCTTGGATCCAGGTCAGGCATCTTTGTATTTTGTATATGGTTGGAGTATCTCATCACTCTAAAATAATAGCCCTTCTGCTGTATACCAAATGTCAGCTGTGCTACATTACAGCAGAACCAGTGCAATATGCTAGCAGCCCCCGGGTTCATGAGAGGCTGCTTATCGAGTTTATTAGGAGCAACACTAGCAGCCTGATGATGTGTGACATTCAAACAAACTTCCCAGAGTTTAGATATCTTTAGAAACACCTCTGAGTCTAAGATGTGATAATGCAGGGAAACTAGGATATGACTGACTGGGTGGAAGTTAGTGAAGTGAAGACAGGAGGGGAAAACATGGGGAAATGGCAGAGATGGAATAACAAATGAAATGCGGGAGGCAGTGAGAAAGAGACAAAATGAAAGGAAATGCAGACTGATGGAAAAAACATAAAGGCTGATGGTAAAAAGAAGTATGATGAAGAAGCAGAGAATATGGTAGCTGGAATTTGGGTGTGTGTCTGTGCACTATTATTTATAGCTTCATTTCTACATTGTTTTTATCAGTGGAAAGAAGAAGGGGGGGGGGGGGGGGGTAATCCTCCAGATCAACGGCAAAGAGTAAAACTGAAAGAGATGTCCTCACTTCCCATTAAGAAGACACCACATTAGTTTCTTGCTGGTTCTGAGATTAAAACTAAACATAGCAGGGTAGTTGCTTAATAGGCAACCATTCACTCTGGTCTAAAAGAAACATCGTCCAAACAAAATGTCTTGAAAGAGAAGTCAGAGAGGAAAAAAAAGACTTCTTGCACGTCTTTGGTCTTTTCTTGCTCCGGCTTTCAGTGTCTCCATCTTACAGCTTTTCCAGTCTTATCTTCTGTGTTACTTTCACAAGTGAACTGATGATAATTTTCTCCACTAGACTAAGCTGTCACTTCATACATTGACAGACGGCCAGTACTAGAAGAAAAAAGTGATTACGCATAAAATATATATGAGAAACTGTAGAATCAGATCTCAGCACAAGGCTGTTTTCCTCTGACAAACACAATAACAACAAACCAACGAACGGCCCTGTGAAAAACACGTTTTTTAATACTTCTTAGCTTTTGACTGTCGTCCATGACTTTACTAAGGTTTACACATTCAGACAGAAGTTCTGACAACTATAGTTTTCACGCTGCATTAATGACTATATTCCAATGAGGCTAACAGTAAAACTCAAAGATCGGTGACATCTTCAGGAAACACAGTGTTTAATAAACAATTTAAAAAACTGTACTATGAGTCCTTTTACACAGGAATGCACAGCTTCTAATTCTTTTGCTAAAGCTGTAGTTAAGGAATGCTGATTAAACGTGTGTTGTAATGTATTTTGAATGAAGTCTTAAACATCATTGAGCTTCAGCTACTTCAGAAAATTAATTAGGATAAAATGAACTGTCAGATCTTTAGCATTTAAATTATATGCTGCAAAATAAAAGAGATAATATTATTATTTAACAAAACAGGACAAAACCATTCACTAGTTCTTTGATTTGATTTTTAACCTGATGTTTGGTGTGCACGTGTCGTGTTGCTCCCCTGCAATGAACATGGTGCATGAAAAATCATAAAATCATAAACAAATCACCTCTCGTCCCAGTGGGCAGTCTTTTTCCTTCAAGCTCGGGTCCTCTACCAGAGGCCTGGGAGCTTGAGGGTCCTGCGCAGTAGCTTAACTAGGACTTTTCCCAGGACTGCGCTCTTCTGGACAGAGATCTCAGATGTTGTTCCTGGGATCTGCTGTAGCCACTCGCCTAGCTTGGGAGTCACTGCACCGTGCTCTGATTACCACTAGGACCACCGTCACCTTCACCCTCAACATCTTCTCGAGCTCTTCTCTGAGCCCTTGGTATTTCTCCAGCTTCTCGTGTTCCTTCTTTCTGCTGTTGTTGTCATTCGGTATCGCTACATCGATCACTACGGCCGTCTTCTTCTGTTTGTCCACTACCGCTGTGTCTGGTTGGTTAGCCACCACCATTTTGTCTGTCTGTATCTGGAAGTCCCACAGGATCTTAGCTCGGTCATTCGTCTCCCATTTTGACCTCAGGACTTCCAGGCCATATTCTGCACAGATGTTTCTGTACACTATGCTGGCCACCTGGTTCCATGTATGCCCTGGCTGCTAGCACCTTACACCCTTCTGTTATGTGCTGGATTGTCCCAGGGTCATCTTCACACAGCCTGCACCTGGGGTCTTGCCTGGTATAATAGACCCCAGCCTCTATGGATCTTGTACTTAGAGCTTGTTCCTGTGCTGCCATCAGAGTCAGTTCCTCTCGCAGTCAGTGATCCTTCCATCGCACTTGGGACTTGGTACCCAATCTCAGGTGGGGGTGATGATATCTCCCCCCTGACCTGTCATCTTGGCTCCCCCTTGCCGTAGCACTTATGTTGTACCTCGTCAACCTCTAGCCGTGAGAGCAGTTCCTTCTTCTGAACGTTGGGACACTAAGCTGGTAGTTGTTTTGCGACCAATCAGGATGCTGGGTATCGAAGATCCCATAGGTCCCTCGTCCTATTCATGTAACCTCTTCTGCTGGGGTTACTTGTGTAGTAGCATTCCGACAGCGCCCTGTTTTCGTCTCTTGCTGACCGATGCTGTCTTGTTCCAGTAGCCCACTTCTCATCAGGGTGTCCTGGTTCCTCAACACCTGATGCGGATCTTGTTAATCCGGGCGATGAATTAACATTCTTGTTAATCGTTTTCAAAATTCCAGTTATTTCTTTTTTGTTTTGTTTATTAATTACTTTAGTTTTCCATAACTGCAGTGGCATGTTGTTAATTTAAATTTAATTAAAACACAAATTAACATTTAAGCACAAAAAGCTGTTTTCAAATATTACATATTATGACTTACTAGATGTCTTACATTTAGATGTGCAGCCTGCTTTTGTTTTATTTTTGAGCTCCTTTCTCTGTTGACTTTCTGAGCACTATCAGTTGAGAAGGGGAGGATGAGTCCGTGTAACTCTGCTGAAATGGGTGAGAACTGAAAAGTCGAGCTTCTGCAGTCGAGCGAACTGCAATGACCTGTGAGGAAAATCTAAGACCTCTGCAACGAAATCAAGAAGAGCAACTTGAAAGAAGAGTTCAAGCTGAATAGCTAGTAGCAGGAAAGAATGGAAGTGTGGTTTGAAAAGAGGTCTGAAGAGAAAGAAATCGGCCCAGAGTCAGGAGGAAAGAAGGAATTTGTGTTATCGGGGCTTAAGGAGTTCTGTGCCGACTGCTGGCTCAGCTCCCTTCCGTTCTAATTCCCTCTCTGTCTCAATCACTCTTCTTCACCCTTTCCCTTCTAGACATTTAGTCATTTGTAGTTTTCATTGTCAAATCATATTGCTGAGGTAGAGGGGGCCTGTCAGTGCAGCATAGTGGGATAGTTAGAAGTCAACATTAAAGAGGAATGCCTCGGGCAATAAGCTGTAATAGACAGATCAAAATTTTGTCGCTCTACACTTATTCCAAATTGCTGTTGGACATGCTTTTTTCCCGCTTACCTCGTCTTTCATTTGCACATCACTTTTTTTTGTTTTTTACTGTAGCTAGTAGGCTTTTGTGTTACTCACTGGCTCGTTTTAGTATGACTGCCGGGGTCTTTTTCTCTGTCTGTGGTAATGCAAACCCAAAATATCCATTTGCCCTTGTGAGGAAAGAAAGAT